AATTTCCTTCCTTCCAGCATTGATTTAAAAGGTGCTTATGAAATTCCTTTAGAGCAAACTATTGTTTGCCCTTAAGTACCAGTGTCTTCCTTCAATCGTCCTTTGGATACATTTACCTTTTGCATCAATCACCCCTGTGGTGGTTTGAAAGAAAATGGCCCCCAAGGGGAGTGGCACTATTAGGAGGTGTGGCCTTGGAGGAAGCGTGTCATTGTGGGAGTAGGCTTTGAAATCTCCTATGCTCCAGCTACTGCCAGTTACACCATTTTCTGTTGCCTGTAAGATGTAGAACTCTCAGCTCCAGCTCCATGTCTTCCTGCATTCTTCCGTGTCCCACCATGATGATAATGAACTTAACCTCTGAACTGTAAGCAAGCCACCCTAATTAAATGTTTTCCTTTATAAGAGTTGCTGTGTTCATGGTGTCCCTTCACAGCAATAGAAACCCTAAGACCGCCCAGATTGACTTGTTGCTATTCATAAGCTCCAGGACTCAGGCCCTTTGGTGCATAAGGATTTAATGATTTACCTAGTAAGTTACTGTATTGCTGTCCAGTGCGGAACTTGCCTAATGCAGTTGCTTTGATTAAGCGTTTGTGTGGCTAAGTGCTTTCAAGTCAATCTCAAATTAAAAAAAAAAAAAAAAAAAAGCACAAGTTGTAAGTAGAGAAGAAAGAGCAAACTACCTGACCTCAGAAGCATCCCCAGAATTTCTGTACTGGGAGCTTTTGTAGATTTGGATTCCACATTTGCTGTAAGCTGCTCAAAACCTCTGGAAGAAAACGTCTAAAACCATTTGTATCTTGTATACATTTATTACTCGATGTAATAAAGTTTATTTTCATGAAAAAGAACCCCAGTCTACCTCACCCCCTCAAGCTTCCAATCCTAGGGTAATGGACTCTCACACTGTAGGCTTTCTTCTAAATCATTTCGCTGAGCACATCTGTCAGGTTTATCCAGTGGTAGCCTGTATTGGTCTGTAACTCATTTTCCTTGCTAAGATCCATTGTGCCAATCTGCTGCATTTCTTTTGGCCATTGCTCAGTGGATGAGTGTTTGGTTGGTCCCTCCATTTGGCTGGGATGTCATGCTATTATGAGCACATATATGTGTGTTTTTATATGTTCAGATGTCTTATTTCTGGGTGTATCTAGGTGTGGGATGTCTAGGGCACAGGTAACTCTGTGTTTAGCATTTTAAGGAACCACCAAACTAAAGTCTACCATTCTTCCATCTCTCAATAGCCTGTGAGGGTCCAGTTCCTCACATCTTTACCAAAACATGTTATTGTTTGGAAGGAAGATTGTTTTCAGTAAAAATATAAGGTCATTAACATAGAAAAATTCCAATTAGATTATCTTATACTCACTTGAGGTGGCTCACAAATGAGTCACGTGACACCAGAAACTTGATGCCACTTTGTAGCTTTGTATACAAAACAGCTCATTGGCGTCTAATTACCTTATCATTAATGCTCTCTAGGTGCTTAGGAAATGTAGATTTTTCTTTTATGTCTAATGAAGAGGTAAAGGGTGGCGTGATGATCGTGTTTGAAATGAAGTTGAAAGTTAAGTCTGTTTCTGAATGCAATGAAGTAAAATTGAAATAGGAAAAATTGAATGACAAAATTAAAATTTCAAAATAGAGGACGCACAGATACAATATAATATATGTGGTTCTCAATGATATTGGGGAGAGTGTTGGCATTAGGGTGAGAGGCCCAGCATTTTATTTACTTAGTGTAAATTTCCACCTGCCCATGCCTACTATACTTCTTACTTGGGCATAGCAAACTAGTTCCCAGACATTTCCCAGCAAGCATTTTATGTCAGGTTTTTTTTTTTTTTTTTTAAATACTCAGACTTGGGTTTTATTAATCTAGCAGACCCAACAATATTGTTAAGGAAAATATGTAAATCTGAAGTCACTTCCTAACCCAAGTTGTCTGACTCTTTAGCAGCTTGGCCATCATCCATTCTTAAGCATCAGAAGCGCAAAAGCACGTAGGTGGTCTCTGATTCCACCTCTGCCTTCTTCTTCAGCCTCAGCAGCTGCCATGTATAGATGCTAAAGGGGTGTGCTTCCCCTGAAAAGGGGTGATTTTCTCTGGGGGAAGAACCTTTCTCTCTTTACAAGACTCAGATGAACTCTACCATTGAGAGGGAGCACTTCAGTGCCGAGTCCAATGCTTGGCTTCCTGGAGAATAAGATCCAGAAGTGCACAGAATTTACAGTGTATCTGAGAAAGACAGAGATGAAACAAAACATTAAAAGCGAATACATACTGTCCTTGCATAGTGGAGGCAGTAGGTCTGGGAGATACGAAGACAGAATCAGAGTAATAGGAATAGGAAATGTGGGAAACAAGAAAGGTGACTGCTGCTGTAATGCTGGCATAGCTGTGTGAACCTCTGTCTGTAAGGCATCTGTGGTCAAGAGTGTCTACGGTGTGGCTCTCTGGGGAGAGAGCTTTCTGAGCACAGTAAACAGCCAGCCAAAGAAACTGCTCTACTGTGAGAGTCCCCATGCATAATTGATAAAATTCTAGCCCTGTGGGGGAAATTGATCAGTTTGTTTCCTTAGTAGTTTTTCTGTAAACAGACATTTATTTCAAGGACTTGTGAGAACCTAAAAATTATCCTAACACAAACTCTTTTTTTGTCCTCTTTCCGAGGTTTAGGAATACTGTTGCTTAAGTTGCAAGGATCACCTTCTCCCCATGGCATCTGGATGTACCCTGTGGACATCGCTCTATAAACACTTTCTTTTCCCAGAGGCTCAGCACTGTGCCTGCTCTTCCTCACAAGAATTAGTCTTTCTTCCATCCTTTTATGTCCTTGTACATCTGTTGGTGTTGTCTAGTTTCTCTTTAGCGATGTCTCTAAGATGCCACCCATGGAATTTTCTCCCTGTTGGATGAGCCAGGGTGAAGGGATGGTCTTCTGGGACCTTCTCCTTTTCTTCAGCCACCGTGGACTTGAATGGTTACATTTCCGGCATGTCCCCACCCAAAGGAAAATTTTAGCAGAGTCCCATGTATCATTTTATGAATCCTCACTGCTCCTGTATTTACTGGTTATATTCCAATTTGGGGGATAAGTATTCTTGACTATTAAAATTAAAAAAAAATGAAGTTCACTGCTTTTTTAAGAATATAAATCAATGTGATATTCTCATACTGTCATTTTATATTTATTTACAAGTGATTTTGAAAGTAACTACTAGGGATACTTTGCAACTCTTGATCTCTTTCATCTAAATATATGAAAATCTTCTGTTAAATAACATGCACCAGACCCCTAAATGCATATGTTTGTCTACAAACAAACAAACAAAAAAATCTATTTTGTCTTAGTTTCTTCTGATGCCTTTCTTTCCACATATCAGAACTTTACATGTCAGAAGACAGATCTGTTTTATTTCATGGAGCTGTCAGAACCGGGGGCCACCTGAGCTGTATTTCTTGAACAGGAATGTTGAAGGCTGTGTGTTCTCTAGCATGGCCATGTAATACTCACTGGTTGGGGTATGTGCTCACGTCCCTGCCCAATGTGATAAATGTTAGGGAGTACACGTAAATGTGTCTGTGGATCTTGAGGGAAAGTTTTTATTCCCGTCTGTGTCCTTACATATGATTGCTGGACTGTGGAGTGCTCACTTGGTATGGGAGTGGGTCTTGCTTTCAGTCCTTAATTTTTAACAAATCATAACTGTACATCATCTAAAAGTCAAGTAACCTTTGACTGTTCTTGTCCTGGCTGTTCCTTTCCCTCTCCACCTCCAATAGCCCCTTGTGGCTTCCTGACCCATGTTTCTCTCCTGCTTAGTTTCACATTTCTGTATAGGATGATGATTCTGATACTTTTAAGATTTTTTTTTCACTTTTCGTGTTTTACTCACTGTAGAAGACAAGAATTTAGCCTCCAAATAACCTTTCATCCTAACCCAGTTATGATAAACACTGTTAAAACATTTAGTTATGTCCAAAAGAGAAGACTATTGATTCTACAATGCCAAGAAGTATCTTAGTGAGGAAAAAAACCTCATGCATTTTCATAGTGCATTGCCAATGATTTGCTCTATAAGCAAATTATTAAGGCCTGAAGATGTGGCTGTATATGAATCTTAAAGGCTAACAATGTTAGCAGCCACTTTGATTTAGCAACAGTATTAAGACAGTGCATGAGATGTCTTTGCATGCTGGTATCTTATCCCTGAGTGAGTTTGGTTGTTTTGAAATCCTTGTCAGTTAGAGTCTTACACACCAAACATTTTCCAGGAGTGAGGGTGAAAGTAGTTTATCCCTCCTTCAAAGAATAAATGTGCTAAAGACAAGTTGTTTGAGAGTCACAGATTTGCATGGAAGACCTCACCAGGACAAAACAGTAATTAGCTCAGCATAAGAGATGGATGGACTGTATTTTAAGATCATCATAGACTGTCTTTTATGTGTTCTCTTTCGTTTAGTTTTGATCTCACGTAATTTAATTTGTTTCTTTCTCTTAATTTTTCTCAATATATTCTAAAGAACATAAAACACTACTAAGGATTGCATTACTACTTTGGAATTGCCTTCTTCAGTATCATCGGATGCAGCTTTTCTTGTCAGTCTCTATGAAGAAGTGTCATAGAACAGGCTGTCATGTTTTAGCAGCTCAACACAGTGGGAGTTCTCCAAGTTCACTTTTGGTAAACTCAAGGACAGTGTAGCTAACTCCCGTAGATGAATATCTTAACACCCCCCTCCCCTTCCCCCATCCTTTTCTTCTTTGCTTCAACAGACACAACATTTTCAGAAACCATCTTTTTTGGCTTTCATTCATGCTTGTTATTGTTCCTACCTGTAAAACACTCTCACTTGTAACAGTCTGAATGTCGACTTAAACCATTCCGGAACTCTGCAGCTTCAGCCGAAAGTAGTCAGGCTAAATGCACTCCTTCATTTACTGAACAAGTGAGGTTGCTTACACATTCTTTTTCTGTTTCTTTTGGCAAAGGTGCTGAGGCGTGAACTGAAGGAGAAAGAGTATTCTGTGCTGAACGCCGTAGACCAAGCTCGAGTTTTTCTGGCTGATCAGCCCATAGAGGCCCCCGAAGAACCAAGGAAAAACCTACAGTCAAAAACAGGTGAGACTGGTGCGAAACCCATGTTTTAGGGGAAAAAACAAAACAATAAACAGCAACAAAATGAAAAACAAACAAGCATCATCTTCCTCGCAGCATCAAGGATCTAAAAATAACAACTTGTGGCATCTGTATATTTAGCATAAAATTGAAACAGGGATTTCTTTCCTAGGAAATAGCAATGCATCACATAGTAAATTTAAGAGAAAATTTCCTGATGTATCTTGGGGCCACCATGTCATTATTAAAATGTTCACTGTTGCTAATAAAAGCATTCTGGTGCATTAAAAAAACAAACCACCGTGCAGAGCTGGAGACACGGCTCAGCAGTTAAGAGCACTGGCTGTTCCACCAGAGAACCTGGGTTGGATTCTCAGCACCCACATGGTGGCTCACAACCATATGTGACTCCAATCCCAGGGGATCTGATGTCCTGTTCTGGCCTCCAAGGATACCAGGTACATACATGGTGTGCAGACACACATGCAGGCAAAAATACCTATATACATCATATGAAAGTAAATAAGTCTTTGTCAAAAATGTTGTTCAAAGTGTTTTTCCATCATTCCCTTTACATTGGAAAGGCGGACATGCGGAGTGGCTCATTGTGTCTAGCAGTGTGGGTTATGGATAGTTATTACTTGTAAGGGGGTGGGGTGGGAACCCTTCCCCCACTGAAGCTGGAATTATATATGTATCACTTATCTCCAACACACACCCAGAGTGCATTCAGTGTCTTTCCCACCACTGCCTTTTATTTTCTGCTCTTGCTCTCACTGTCTGGGGAAGCAGCTTGCTGGAATCCCAAGTCAGGTGAAGTCTCACTGTAGTCGAAAGATTTCTCTGGTCCCACCCAGCCCTGTGGTCCTGCAGCTGCTAATAAAAAAAAAAAAATCACTCAGAGGCTTAATATTATTTACAAATTGTGTGGCCTATGGCAAGTCTCTTGCTAGCTAGCTCTTACATCTTAAATTGACCCATTTCTATTAATCTATATTTTGCCACCTGTTCCCTGGCTTTACCAGTCTGCTGGCATGTTGCTCCTTGGGTGGCAGGCTGGCATGTCCCTAGACTCTGCCTTTCTCTTTCCTGTCTCTCCTTGAATTTTTTGCCTAGCTATAACCTGACTTGCCATAGGCTAGAGCAGCTTCTTTATTAACCAATCATAGCAACACATATTCACAGCATACAGAAAGACCATCCCACAGCATCTCACCTCTTGTCCAACTAAATCACTCATGGTTATCTTTCCCTTCTTTGAAAAGTAAGTTTTTCCCAGGGCTATTGGCCCTATGCTTCACTGGGCTCTACATCTGCAGATCTAACTGACATGGCTTAAAATTATTAGGAAAATAATTTGTATCTGTATTAAGCATGTACAAATATTGTCTCATATCAGTATTGCATAAAATCTGCCGCGGGGCAGTTATTTACCCAGCCTTTGCATTATAGTCAGTGATTTAAGTAATCTAGACATGATTTAAAGTATCCAGAAGGCTGTGCTGCGTAGGCTGTATGCAAATGCAATGCTATTTCACCTGAGGGGCTTTAACCGCCACTGTTCTTTGGAGTCTGTGGAGTGTCCAGGGACTGATGTCCTGGACAATAGGAGCTGTGTTCCCTGTTGCACATGTATTATTTACCCACCCAGAGCGTGCACAAGTCTGTGCAATGCTTACACATTGCTGTTAAGTCCAGGTTCTCAGCCTTTTATGTATGGTCTTGGGATAGTTATAGGGTTAAGCAGCTGCTTGTTTCTCTCCCCCCCCCTTTTTTTTGGAGTTGGGGGGGGGCATCTTACAGCTCTGGTTGCCCTAGAACTCACTTTGTCGACCACACTTCCTTGGAATTCACAAAGATACACCTGCCTCTGCCTCTGGAGTGCTGGAATTAAAGACTTGCACCACTGTGTCCAGCTGCATTCCCTACTTTTAGCAGCACTCGTCTCCTGTTTACAACACATAATATTGCCCATGCGTTATCTGCCTTCCATTTTAGTCTGTTCTGATGAGCGAGCGACTCTCAGAGAATCTGACCCTGTTCCTGTCCTGGTGGAACTTCCTCACTGATGTGTCATTGCATACTGAGAAGTTCTTGATCTAGCATGGTGTTTAAGATCTGTGTGAGCAAAGCTTTCCTATGTGGTCTTAAAGCCTCCTCAGTTTTTCTTCTTACCACTGTCATGGTTCTAGTTCTTGATGTCAAAATTCCTTGAGTGATCCTGGTTGTTCTACATGCTCTTATTCTGTCTGTTTCTTTAAAGATCCCCTGCTGAAGATGCTTTAGAGATTCCTGATGTCCTTTAGATAGAAGGTTTGAATGGTTAAGATCCATAGAGGTGAACCAGTAAGATCCACCCAGGGCTCCTGAGGGAAATTACCTGCTCGGGTCCCGGCCCCACCCTCTTTAAGGCTCCAGCTGCTACTGTAGGGTTCGGCCCCTCTTTTTTTTTGCAGATACTAAAGTCCCCTTCTTTACCCTGGGTTAAGTGTTCCCATTTTACTAACTTCGTCCTGTATAGTATCATATATGTACGAGCACTGGGTTAGATTCATAAAGAACCTCTGTAAAGTGTGAGATAACCTTTTATTTATTATTCTGCCTTTACCTACAGTCTCCTCCAGGAATGTGTTTGTGAAACAGAGATAATAATCATTTACTACCAACATAAAGCATTGAAACTTTAATTTTTTTTTTAAATTTTAAAGCAAAGAAAATGAACCAAATTATGGAGAATTATTAGGAAGAATTCATCTCCTCAGAACTTGCTTTTCTTCTGCAGCCGAGAGTAGGGATGTGTGGTGGATTATTGATTTATCAGATGAAATGAAACCAGACTCCAGCTACTTAGAGCAGGTGACCAGTGTTTATGGAGATTCTGTCCCAGAGTGATCCCCAGCCTCTTGCTGCCCTGCATCTGCTTTTCTCACAGTTCTTGCCCTTTGCCTTAGGAGTTCTGTCCTCTGGGTTGCTGAGCCCAGAACTCTTCTAATCACCACGGGCCTCTTTGTTTTTCGTCACCCAAACCCATTCCATCAGCAAGTCCCATCCTTGCTACATGGAAGCTACACCAGAATCCCTTACCCCTGCATCTCACTCCCAGCCCCATCACCCCTCGCTGGGATGACCAACTATCCTTTTCAGCTTGGCTCTCTCCTCTGCCCTCCTCTTCAGAGACTTCCTTCCCAGCAGCCATGATGAGTAACTGAAAATGGGAACCTGTTGGCTCATTCCTGGCTGGTTCTGTTTTCTCCAACCTGTTTTCCCCATTGCTCACGTTCTCATCCCTATTTCTGCCATACTATGTTGCTGTTTCTTGAGTGGTCAGAAGTGCTCCAATCTCCAAACCTTTGTGCATTTCTTTCCTCTTCCTGTAGCCTCCCTGACCCTCTTCTAGGTCCTTATGCTTACTGCTGGCACCATTACCTTGTCCTTCCTCCTCCTTCCTCCTCCTTTCTCCACCTCCCTCCTCTTTCTCCTTCTCCCTCTCCTCCTTCCTCTCCTCTTCCACTTAGGTTTTTATCCAGATGTAGTGTCCTTAATTAGTCCTTCCCTAGTATCCCCTGCTACAAAGTCTCCCCTTCCTTACTCTCTTTTCTATGTTTCCTGGTGTTTGCTGTTCAACATGTTCTGCATTTGGGCTGTTTGCCACGTGTACTCTCATGCCGTCACTTCCTACCCGGAGGAGTGTAAGCTCCATGAAGACAGGGCTTTTTTTTAAACTGAGTACTTGAAAAAAAGTGTGTGTGTGTGTGTGTGTGTGTGTGTGTGTGTGTGTGTGTGTGCGCACATGTATTGGGAGGACACAAATGAACATGGAATATCTTCCTCAATCATTTTCTACCTAATATTTTTAGAGTTTCCCACTAAAAATGACGCTCACAAAAAAAAAAAAAAAAAAAAAAAAGATGCTCACCAATTGGCTAGACTGGCTAGCCGGCAAACTCAGGATCACCAGTCTTCACTCCAACAAGCATATGCACTATGCTTACGTATACACAGAACCATGGCCAGCTTTTTAAAGCAGGTGCTGGGATCTGAACTCAGGTCTTCATATTTCCGTAGCACTCACTTTTCCCACTATCCATCTCTTTCGATGATGTATTTTTTTTTTTTTTTTTTTTTAGTATCTGGCAGTGCTGGATGCCTCTCGCATAATTATTGAGTGAAGAAATGTATCAGCAGACCAACTCTAGGGATGGGTGAGACCCCTAAGATACATTTCCTAAGAAGGATTTAGTTTAATTGATGACACCTAACACAGAGGTCAGCAAACAAATCAACGCCACTACCCCCAATACCACGTGGGCGTGCCCAGGGCCTTGGTTGTACGCCACAAAGGACAGAGCCTTTGAGGGTCCGAGTGGAGACAGTTGTCCCTAAGCACACCCTTGAAATGAGGGAGGAGGTGACTAGACTAGAGGTCAAGGGGCAGCCATGATGCATACAGCAGGCCAGGCAGAAAGCCAGGGATGTTGTACAAGGAGCAGAGTGTGCTGGGAGATGATGAGCCGTCTGCTTTCTAGGGTCGGTGGAGGCTTATGCCTGGGGAAGATGAAGGCGTGTGTGTGTGTGTGTGTGTGTGTGTGTGTGTGTGTGTGTGTGTGTGTGTTGACTCAGATTTTGGGGGGACCTGGAAAGTTGGACAGAGCTTGTTTACTTCATACAGTGGGGAAGAAGATGATCTTATACTTTCATGTGTTTAAACCTGGGAGAAAAAAAAGAAATGGTTCACATGACCTCGTGGTACTTAAAGCCTTGCCCTAGACTGCTTTTCTTGCCTCTTTGCCTCTCCAGGACTTGGCAGAAAAGTGAGGAAGGACATTGACAGTGAGATGCTTTTGTAGCGGGTATGCACTACTTCCTGTCATTAAGGCTTCATGGTGCTGTTAGCACTCCTGGTCGTCAGCCATTTAAAGCCTAAAAGCTACTCCTGTAGCTTCTTTCCTTGGCTGATAGACCCAGCAGATTGCTCAGGTCCAGTTTCCAAACACCACATCCGG